TTTCCCTACTCCTGCCCAGCCACCAGTGTAGATCCACCTGCTACAGCCATAGCACAGGGGTGGGCCAAGCTCAGGCTGAGAGCGCAAGCACAGAGGCATTGACCAACTGAGACCTGTCTGTTCCTGCTTCAGCCAGTGGGAGATGTTGTAGGTTTGCCTACAGTGACAGGTTTCCTAACTGGTTCTTTGCTGGCAAAAGCTCTAGCGCGGATGAGGTTTCAGGAGGCATCTTTATCCCTTCAGTTCCCTTGGCACATCTGAATACTGTACACTTCAGGAGTGAGCAGCTCATTTCTGTCAATGAGGTGTTTGCTTGGTTCATAACAGTTCTAAGAAGAAGAACGCTCTGTGCTTAGGGCCTTGGCGTGCTGGATTGTGAAGGGCTTTGGACTAACATAAGTGGCTGGTGTGCCAGGTAGTGCCTAGAAATCAGGCCAGTCTCCCCTTCCACTACTGTGAATTATTTAAGTCAGTAGAGTTATCTGGCTGTAAAATGAGTTGAAAGGCAGGAGTAGGGAGAATCAGGCCTGACACATACATATAAACCTGATCACTTGATTGGCAGCCCTCTGCTGACAGTCTATGATGAGAGTGCTTTTCTCACCCTGGAGGTGGTTCCTTGATTTCTCCTTACTTTCCTTATGACTGGGAAGAATCCTGCTCCCAATGGAGTCACTGGGACTTCTGGCACTGATTTCAATGGGAGTAAGGGTTTGAATAGCTATATCCAGAAAGGGAAGAACAAAGCAGATCAGCTTACTTTGCTGCATCATGGTGTTCAGATTGTTTTTTTTTCTCTCCCTGCCTGTCCTCAGGCAGCATTGAGTATCACTCAGCGGGCACTTGGCTCCCAAATTTCAAGCCCTGACCCCCAGAGCTGGAGACTCAGGAGGACTCTATAGTATTGTTAATGAGTTAGCTGGAGTGTGAGTCAGCCTGTGTGCAACTGCCCCTGGTGCACTGCACAGTGAGGTCCTGTGAGTATTGTGCATCCCTCGTTTAGGGCATCAGTCCCTAAAATGCCTCCTTTAGCCCTTTCCAAGCTTGCAGCTTTGCAGTCCCCCCAATCTTCTTTGGATGCCACGTGCTGCCCTCCCTGACCCAAGGCTCTTTGTACATGGAGTCAGAATAGGAGAGGTGGAGATCCCAGCCCAGCTTTATGAGTCCTCATGCCCTGACACTGAATCCTCTCCTGATACCTCAGACCGTTTGCCCCTTTCATTCACTGTCTCAGGAGAGACCAAAGAGCACGTGGGTCTATTATCTTCCCGAGACAGAGTCCAGAAACATCAGCTGGGCAAGATAGCTCAGGTGCTGCCCATGCTTTTCCAGCTCTGAGATACTGAGTTTCCAAGCCTGTTAATACATCCCCTTTCCCTAAACAGCAATCCAAGAACCGCCCTGGCATTCTCTCCATCTGCATGAAGTCTGTCACCTCCACCGCAATTTTAAACCCCCTTTAGCTGCCCATCCAGCTCTCTGCCCTCCCCTTCCCCCACCACCCTTGATGCTTCTCTGACAAACCTACCTGAATCGCTCCTGCCCAGCCGTGTCCCAAAACTGCAGCTTAACCTGGACCCCAGGTTCAATCTCCATAAATTGGACGTAGAAATCTACTCCCACAGTTTGATTAATGGATTCGAGGAAGACGCCTTCAGTGTAGCGCTTCAGCAGGGATGATTTCCCCACCGTGGAGTCCCCCAGCATAATAATCCGGAACTGGTAGTGCCAGTGTGAATCCATGGGGATGTCAAAGGAGAAAACCCCAGGGGAACAGTGCAGACTAGAAGCTGCCAGGAGCCCTGAGCCAAGCGTATGCAGTGCAGAGGAAGAAAGCATCTGAGGAGTCCCACTGCTCTGCTAGTTGGGACTTGCTTAGGTCAGAGTGGGATTGCTTCTTGCTGATGCCTGACGGCTGTGAAGTGTTTTTCTCTGTTCAGGCAGGTAGCTGCCACACCAGTTTGGATCTGCTGTTTCTGTGGCCCCCTCCCCCTGAGCACACAATTGCAGGAAGGTGAAGGCAGAGAAAAGGTTTTTCTTTTTGGTTGGGACTGATCCTCCCTACACAATAATGCTCAGAGGAACAAGCTAAATAGATGCAAAGCTCTGATGAGGAAGCAGCTCATTCTCATTACGTTAGATTAAGAGAAGAGTACGTGCCTTGCGGTTTGAGAGGACCGGGAGTCAGGTGACCTGGGGTCTATTTGTTTGGCCATCACTGTGGTCTTGGGCAAGCAGCTGCATTTCAGATATCCCCCTTGTGAAATGAGGATGATGTTAATGACCACGCTGGGGCGTACAAGGCTACATTAGCCTAGTTTTGAGCCCTTTGGAATACACTAGAGACATATCCTAGTCTGCCTCTAGTCTAGCATAACAGAAAATATTGTAGGTTCACATTCCCTTCAAGGGTTTGGCTTTTAGAGGCATGCACTTCCTTTCATCATCAGTTGCCAATCTAGGCATAAGCCCAGGACCTGCTATAGGCAGATGTCTGAGCCACAGGCTTCCCTTGGGAAGATGTTTAACCTGTAAGACATGACCGTGCATGTATCGTATTGTGTTTGTTCATGCTTAGCACACCCAAAGCCAAAGACTGAGCTTTTGCAATACAACTACATATGAGCTAATGGAAGACATGCCTCACCTGGCTTTGCAATATATATGCATCTGAATGTATAAATCAGTTCTGGGTTCTTTTAATACTGAATGTAGACATGTCCCCAAAACTTGTGGAGTTCAGAATCAGGCTGCAGGAGCCTTCCTTGTCTACACAGCCATTGTCAAATAAATGTAACCTACAACTTCCCAGTGTGCAGTTTTGTCCTTCTGTAGTGCTGACTGGACAAATATATTGGTTGTTAAATCTAGCACCACTTTGGTTAGTCCTGGTGACTCAGCTTGGGTAGCAGAAGCTTATGTTTGAGATGCAGAGTTCATAGGTTCAGCTCCTGGTGCAAATGAGCCACTGAGCAGTTTGGCATGGCACATAATCAAAGAGGTTCCGCTGATTAAATTCCCTTGGTGTGAGACTTTCCACTGCAGCAGCTGTCAGGAGGGTGGCAGCACTGGTTTTCCCCAGGGGAACAGTTGGATACACTGGCATTGAATCTTAGAAGCAGTAGGTATGGGGTAATGCTACTGTGCTAAAGGCAGTGTAAGACCCTCAGTAGACCAGGAAAGGCTTGTTCAATTTGACTTCCATGTTCCTAGTGAGACAATTCTCACACCTGTTCCCTCCTAAAGCCCATTAATGCAGGTAAAATTATCTGCAGGAATGAAACACCAATGTGGCTGGTCCACATTGATGGTCTTAAGAAGAAACAAGATAGCCCGATTTGGGACAATAGGAGAGAGATCAGACAGACAGACAGTTCATCCTAGGAAGGAAGTTATCCTCTCAACAGAGGTTTAAAAATATTTTAAAGGAGATACAATACCGTGATGATGAGGGAAGTTTGAACGGGCAGCAAGACTCCTGGGTTCTCTTCCTGCCACTATTCTGATCAGGTCGCTTGACTTTCTAGTGCCTATTTACCCACCTATAAAATTAGCATAGTATTTACTTTCTGAATCCTGCACCATCACAGAAGGGCAATGAGACTTCATTAGTTAAAATTTACTAAATGATTTAAGTTCAGATACAATAGAGCCATATAGCAGCAGAACAGATCCACTCTCTCCAGGCATGGAGTTCTCTTCCCCAATGCCCAGACTTGAATGAACCACCAAATTATGGAATGGAAATACAAAAAATGGTCTTAATGAAGAATCAGATACTCGCTAGAGGTATTTGAATAACAGTGATTGTCCTCATCAGTATATGGCACAGTTTCATATTCACAAACACTGAGACCAGAGAGGGTTTAAATACCCAGGTCCTATTAAAGTCAGTGGGAGTTTGACTCCATTGACTTTCAACAGGGCCTAGATTTCTCTGAGGATCAAATGCCAGCTTGACTTCAGAGAGCCGCAGTAGACCTACCTAAGGAGGAACAGAGCTGGGATTTTCTCTAACCGGCTATGTATGGTGTCATAATCCCATTGCATAGGAGGAGGCATCAGTTCCTGGTAGTTTTTCCTCAGGAGTTTTAAGTGTTGAAATCTAGTCAAACAAAAACAACCGTCACAGGCAAGGAGATGGAGACCCAATGCACAGAACACTAGTGGGACAGACAGGAGAGGAGGGTCGACCCCTGAGCTGCCGCGTGGCCTTGACAAATACATCATTTCCCCTTTCCACCCTTCTGATTGTTTAGATGGCAAGTTCTGTTAATCAAGGGTCATCTGTTCCTGTGTCTGTGCAGTGTCCAGCACAATGGAGCCCTGATCTCAACTGAGGTCTCTAATGTTACTGAAATAACACTAGGAGTACAATCTGATTTTAAGACATGCTCAATTTAAGCTTAATAACATGTATAACCGAATCCAATATGATTTTGAATTTAAGATGCCTCCCAATAACTTGATTCTGCACATGAAAAATGTATAAATGTCTTATAATTTTCCATAATCTCTATATAATTTTCCACGCATAGAATATGCAGAACATGTATAGAATTTCCATGTATTATTTTCTGCCTTCCCACCCCCCCACACTGGCTTGTACTCAAATCCAAGATGAGGAGCCTTTCTCCCCATGTTGAATGAAGGGGAAAAAACTCTCTTCTTGGATTCAAGTAAATAGGGTAATATGAGATTAAGCTAGAAAATTAGCAAAAAATAGTCAATTACACAAGTGGTGCATAAATACTAGACTGGTTCTATGTAGTGAACTTCACTCCTTTGCACTGACCAATAAAACCATATCCCACTGTATAGACACGAATATCTGATAGATTTGCTCATATAATGAGAATTCATCCAATTACTATGTTATGTAACCCCCTTCTCCACCCCCACAAAGAAAAAAACTCAGGCCACAATGATTTCCTGTAAATATAAAATCTTTGAGGTGACTTGGCAAAACAGGGAGTAGTTAATAGCTCACTTATAATGCAAGAGCATATCAAGATCTCATTCAGGCTAATAGCCCCATTGATTGGATCAGATCTATTTACCAGTAACTGAATGTCAGCTGCAATGATCAAAGAGTTTCTTAGTCCTAAAATTAAGGTAAAAAAAATGAATTATTGTATTTAAAAGGGGCTTCCTCTGGTAAGAACCAAATAAAAGTCTCTAACAATGACTTAGTGCCAACTAGATTGCCTGTTTTTCACCTGGAAGGGGAAGCAATTTTTCATTAATTCAGTGCAATTCAACTGTCCAATGGATGAATGGATGAGATCCTTTGTTTCTGTTAGAGATGGACCTATGTCCCCGATTCTAACCCCAACCTGAACGTCAGACTCCTTCCCCATTTCTATTTCTGAATCAGCTCATCCATCCCCATAAATATTTCACATCCTTGGCATCACAGTATCACCTCCCCACCTCCAACACCGTAAGTCCTGGTCCCTAATTTCTTGGCTAACACAGGCATTTTTCTGGTGTTTTTCTCTTCTTTTGGGGTTTGCAAGTTTTCTTCTTGTGAATCACCTTCACCCCATCCCAGCCTTCCTCCAGAGCAATCTCCTTGTTCTTCAGGGCTTCATAGACGGTGTTGACCATAGTCTCAAAGGCCAAGTCCACATTAATATTGCTCTTGGCAGATGTTTCAATGAAGTCCATGCCCAGGTAGGCTGCCAGCCCTTCTGCCTCCTCAGTGGAGACCTTACAGTCTGATTTCAGGTCACATTTGTGGCCAATCAGGAGGAAGATGATCTTTTCCATAATCTGGATGCTGGCCACCTCTTGGTACCACTCCAGAATGTGTTCGAAGGACTTGCGGTTGGTCATGTCGAACACCAGCAGCACGCCCACGGCATTCCGATAGAAAGACCTGGTGATGCATCTGGGGACACAAATGAAATAGCTTAGCAAACCTTAGTCTAGGGATCTCAGAAGCTTTGATCTGCTTAAATTTTTCTATTCACGCCCAGGACGTGACACCAGCACGTTCTTACTTTGGGCCACACACGTTGGTTTTGTTTTTTGCTGCCTTATGACATAAAAAAATAGGTTTGGGAGTTGTTTTCTTTCTGTCTTTTACATTTAAAAATAAGGTCTTAACTACCTTGCCTTTTTTCTGGAAGACTGTATGGACAGCTAAAGGAGTGTATAATAATGACCCCAGAGATGGCAAGGAAATAAATTCATTTGAAAAAGAGCCTTTAATCAGCTTTATTTGAAACTCCCTGGGTTTTTTGTAAATACTGGGCGTGTTTACACGTGCATTTGCACTGGTTTAAATTTACTGCGCAGTAAGTGGGAATAGACTGACATCTACATGTACAGACGTTAAAGTGCATTAATACTGTGTGTGGGCTGACTTGGGACTAAAGTTAGTCCCAAGTCAGTCTACACACACAGTATTACTGTGCAGTAAGGTGTCTACATGTGTGTTACTGTGCAGTAACTAATTGGGCATACATTTGATATCTGCACGATGCAGATATCAAATTTACGTTCAAGTTGTCGTAAGTTGCTATATTTACTGTGTAGTACAGGCACGCATGTGTGGACACGTGCCTGTAATGCACAGCAATTTCAGTCACCGTGCAGTAAATGCACGTGTAGAAGTGCCCACTAGGTGCATCTACACATTCATTAATGTGCCACAGCTACTGTGCCTTAAGTTTAATACTTAGATAATCAAGTACTAAATCAATGTGCAGTAACTTGCACTACTGTGCAGTAGTGCTGGCACACGGGGGTTTTTTGGACGTTAACTGCACAGTAGCCTAATACTACTGCGCAGTAGCATATTAGCACAGGTTTTGCCTGGCATGCTACTGCGCAGTGTTATTAGGCTACCACGCAGTTAGTGTCTTGTAGATGCACTACGATCTCAGCTGACCCTTACTGCTTCAATTAAAGACAGGTATGAGAGTCCTTGAATTGCAGTTGTGTCCTTGGACTGTATCTTTGCTCTCTTATCCAGCGCTTTGGGTTCCTTTAGTAGCCCTCTGTGCTGAGAGATGGAGTAGGGGGAAGGGGCATGCTTGAACTTCAGGCTCATTCACTCTATGGGTCAAGACCCAAAATCTCCAGACCCCCACAGCTATATGTGCCATATCTTGTGGCAGACACCCCAGCCCATCCTAAAGTTAGAAAGAAAATAGTCGGTTAGATGGTCTGTGCAAGCAAGCTACTCACATGAGTATATATATTTTTTGGCTGTAACTAGAACAGTAATTCCATCCTCCATGCACTCATTTAAAACACTCAGCTCCACCATCACTGCAGATTCTTAGTCTGCTTCTCCCTTTTCCACACTTGACAGAATCCGTTCTCCAATGGACAGCAATCACTATTTTCCCTTTCACCCCCACACACAAAGGACATGAGGTAATATCAAACCCTGCCTCGACTCTGAGAAGTGCTAATGGTGTGTTAACTCCACTCTCCCTCCAGCTTCTCTCCAAGAGCAAGCCAGAAATGACTGTTGGTTCGCTGCTGGCCAAACAAAGAGTTGTAACTGACCCTGAACATACAGATCTCTTGCAATCCAATCCCTCCCACCCTGCCTTCAACTGCAAATACCCTTCCCAAGCCTGGCTGGGTGGCTTCAAGCACATGATGCCATTACATCATAACATTTACAAGGCTGCAAAGAAAACGAAGCAAAATATTGTGAAAAACACCTTGCTTGGGCCTTTGGGCACCAGTGCAGCAACAGAAAGAGCAAGACTGAGGGCACAGAATGGTCCATGCAGAAAATAGGTCTGGGTGAGCTGGGTTCCTATCTATGGGCAGTGTCTGGGCTGGAGAAGGGAATAGGGTTTTATTGGATCTGGGTTTCTGCGGAGAGGGTGTGTGTGTGTGTGTCTCTTTCTAAAAGGATTAGCTCCTGGCATGTAGATCT